ATTGGATACCTAGAACAGTAGAACTAGAACCAAACCAAGTACTAGTTCTGTTATGGACTTATGGTAGAGCTCCAAGTTAATAAGCCCGAAATTTCCCAAAGGCCCAAACTTGTGAAGCATCAAGCATGTGGTCAAGTAATTAATAACACGCACCAATAAATTGATCAAAATGGTCTTATATTGAACATCTAATAAGTACTAGCTTCTAGCCTTCTATCCCCTCCTCGGCTCCTCCTCAATTTGAGACTTGATCCTTCTAAAATTCGTATTAGTTGGAGTCCAATAGGATTTGGATAGCAGATGATCACTACACCAAATAATAAACGTCGGGTATCATGCTAGCTCAACATATAAAGTTCCAATTCCAACTACGTATTTTACTAGGGTTGGTTACAAACTTACAACTAAATCCGGAAATTGAAATTTCAAATGGATACCCGTGTTTGCTCACCCCAAGTAGGCTCTCGATAGCGGCTAGCCTGGCTAACCTAAAAGAACAATGCATATAGTACTTCGTAGAGTAAATAAAAACTGTAAAAGTATAAAACCCTCTCCCACTACGCCAAAAATGTGGGCTCTGAGCCTCTGAGTCCTTACAGTACTTAGTATTACATAATCTATTAATTTAGTAGGATTTGGTTTTTAGCTAAAAAATGGACAAAATAGCAGATAAGCCTGAGAAGATGAAATTAGATTTACATGGGATTTGATTTAAGAATGTAAAACATTTGTCAGATGTCAGACTGAAGATTAATTAGTTCTGAAAGGCTTTGCAGAACAATCAGATATAGTGTACAATATAAAATTATGTCATGCCCAATTCACAAACTTTTTTTCAAAATAATATCTTGTCCGATTTCTACTGCTCGTTGGTTTATATTTAAGTTTAGTAGTTTACCCGTCTCATTCCTGGATTCTGAGGTAATTCTGTAATCACGAAGACTTGTACTTATCAGGGTGTAAGCATACAACGCGATTTATCACAACAAAAACCAATTCTATAGCGGGTGACTTTTATGCGATTTGAGATGGCTAAGTCTGTTGTATAGAAATACACCCATAACCCGTTGCATATAGGTTTCTTTTGTTTATATCAGAAGAGGTTGTTAGCCAAGTTGTTAGAGAATACAGGACAAGATCAAGATGCCTCTTATAGAAATAATGAATTTGGTCCATTACTCATAATTAATCAGATTTTTTTTTCCCTTAAATATTTAGTCTAAAGCATTTTTACTGGAGAAAAAACATAATTAAACTTAAACACAACTTTTACATTATTAGCATTTAGCAACAAATATAAAAAATATATGTTGATTATATTGGGTTTCTAATAAGCAGCTGCAACAGGACCCAACTCCAAGTTGACACCATTTTCCAATTGCTTCATAGTTTCAAACCTTGGCTCCTTAGGCTGGAATTTAAGCCCTGCATACAGCTTCATGTAGTCATCAAAAACAAATTTCGGGTATATCGGTTGTTTGGGTACTAAAATGGTCATACCCATTTTAGTCTTGGGTAACTCTACCCATATAAGCCCAAAGGGCATAAAAAAGGTATAAAAGGCCCCAAATAAGTCAAATACATCAATATGGCCTTCAACGGCCCACATATGTAATTTTAGGGCTCATAAACCCACTTATGTACTCATATAAATACCCCTCAAAGGGCATAAGGTAAAAAGAGGTCACTCTTATCATCTAAGATGACCATACTCCTCCACTCTCTCCCCTAAACTCCTCTCAAAATATGCATTGTTTGGCAACTAACTTGGGCGTCGGAGGCTCCGCCCCGGGTTCAACCCCCGGGGCTCGGGGTTCATTTTGCAGGTCCATTCAAGGCCCAAATTCGAGGTTCTCAGACACCCCTCCAAGGCCCGGTTAGCTCATTTTTTGCCGAAACAATTTGGCGCCGTCTGTGGGGAGACGAGTACTACTACCCATGAAAATCCACTAATTCATGGCTACTGTGTTCTATCACGAAAAAGGGTCAAAATTTCTAGCAAATTTAACCCAAAATTATTACTCCTGTCAAAAGGGGTAATCATTCTTGCAAATGGTGGAGATGATAGATAAACATTTTGATTTGTCGCCAATCTAACCACTACTAACAAGGTACTTCGTGCCTTTACAAAAAAATTGGGAAATATTCCATGAATATGGTCAAACCTTAATTATTCTTGAAGAAGAATAAAAGCTAGATCTACGTGGCTCTAATGGAAAGCTCACAAAAGCAAGCCTTTCATTCACACCACCAAGTTGAAGAGGCAGCAGGTGGCATGAAACATACATAAAAAATCAATCAAGTTTATGTAAATTCAATGCTTACCGAAGGAAATTGCCATTGTCTTCATCACAAGCTTCAAGGCTCACAACTCCACCACTAGAACGACTCACCATTTCATCCTAGGCAACACATGCCGAGGTCAATGGGGGTCAAGGCTAGTATTGTGAAGTGAGCCAAATCTCTTCACATCACATCTAAAGTAGCAGCCGAAGAAGATCCGAGGTTGTCTACCATTGTTGAAGCTTAAAAAAGCTCAAACTATCACCAATCTAAAAATCCGAAGCAAATAGCTCGGATAAGCAAAAGGAATCCGAAGCTCATCGAGCCGAGGCTATCCGAAGGTGTTTCAGCCCAAGCCGAAGGTGTTCTGGGCAAGCCAGCCGAGCCGAGACCGGTGTTTCAGCCAAGCCTAAGGCTTTTCAGCCGAGACCGAAGGAGTTTCAGCCCAAGCCGAAGGCGTTCTGGGCGAGTCGAAGGTGATTCAGCAGAAACCAAGGGTGGTACAGTTTACCGCTCCCAAGTTAAGGTCGGTAACCATTGCCGAGCCGAAGCTCACCTCTTATCTCCTGGCCGAGGCTAGCCATAGCCGAAGCCGAGCCCAACCGAGGTTTACCTTCGCCGAGATTCGAGCTCCCAGCCGAAGCTCACAACCATATGAGCCGAGGGTGCTGCCGAAGATGGTTTGTCTGAACCGAAGAAGGTTCATCCAAGCCGAAGCTCATACGAGCTAATGCTAGAGCAACCAAAGCAATTAGCTTCGGCAGTCAAGTGCAATTGGCTCAAATTGTACCCGACCTCAACCTACATCAAATCTGATGATAACAAGTCAGAAGAAAAATTTACCTTTTGACCATTTTCAAAGAGCTATAAGCCATAAAAAAAAACTACCTTTGTCAGGGTAGATGGCCAGAAGCTTTCTTACCTGCGGCTACTACTTTTATCAAGTAAATGGCTTCGGGCCCACTTTCATCAAAGCCCATCTATCAAATTGCTTCAGCAAAGAAAAATGGCTCTTAATTTTTCGAGTCAATATTTTCCTCAAAAAAAAAAAATATCATCAACTATCCTCACGATGACGATGATAAAATTAATCATCAATCTTCCTCACGATGATGATGATTAAAAAAAAAAAAAAAAAAAAAACTCTTTCTATCCCCGGATCAAGAGTAATAAACTCTTTTTATCCTCGGATTAAGAGTAAAACTCTTTCTATCTTCGGATCAAGAGTAAACTCTTTCTGTTCTCGGATCAAGAGTAATAAACTCTTTTTATCCTCGGATCAAGAGTAAACTCTTTCTGTCCTCGGGTCAAGAGTAATAAACTCTTTCTATCCTCGGATCAAGAGTAAACTCTTTCTATCCCCGGATCAAGAGTAATAAACTCTTTCTATCCTCGGATTAAGGGTAAACTCTTTCTATCCTCGGATCAAGAGTAATAAACTCTTTCTATCCTTGGATCAAGAGTAATTAACTCTTACAATCCTCGGATCAAGAGTGTTGCCTCAGAATAAACTCTTACAATCCTCGGATCAAGAGTGTTGCCTCGTATGAACTCTTTCAGTCCTCGGATCAAGAGTAATTAACTCTTTCAATCCTTGGATCAAGAGTGTGTTGCCTCGGATGAACTCTTTCAGTCCTCGGATCAAACCTTGGATCAAGAGTGTTGCCTCGGATTAACTCTTTCAGTCCTCGGATCAAACCTTGGATCAAGAGTGTTGCCTCGGATAAACTCTTTCTGTTCTCGGATCAAGAGTAATAAACTCTTTTTATCCTCGGATCAAGAGTAAACTCTTTCTGTCCTCGGGTCAAGAGTAATAAACTCTTTCTATCCTCGGATCAAGAGTAAACTCTTTCTATCCCCGGATCAAGAGTAATAAACTCTTTTTATCCTCGGATTAAGAGTAAAACTCTTTCTATCTTCGGATCAAGAGTAAACTCTTTCTGTTCTCGGATCAAGAGTAATAAACTCTTTTTATCCTCGGATTAAGGGTAAACTCTTTCTATCCTCGGATCAAGAGTAATAAACTCTTTCTATCCTTGGATCAAGAGTAATTAACTCTTATAATCCTCGGATCAAGAGTGTTGCCTCAGATAAACTCTTTCAGTCCTCGGATCAAGAGTAATTAACTCTTTCAATCCTTGGATCAAGAGTGTTGCCTCGGATGAACTCTTTCAGTCCTCGGATCAAACCTTGGATCAAGAGTGTTGCCTCGGATGAACTCTTTCATTCCTCGGATCAAGAGTAATTAGCTCTTTCAATCCTTGGATCAAGAGTGTTGCCTCAGATAAACTCTTTCAGTCCTCGGATCAAGAGTAATTAACTCTTTCAATCCTTGGATCAAGAGTGTTGCCCCGGATGAACTCTTTCAATGCTTGGATCAAGAGTGTTGCCTCAGATGAACTCTTTCAGTCCTCGGATCAAGAGTAATTAACTCTTTCAATCCTTGGATCAAGAGTGTGTTGCCTCGGATGAACTCTTTCAGTCCTCGGATCAAGAGTAATAACTCTTACAATCCTCGGATCAAGAGTGTTGCCTTGCATAAACCTGAACAAATAAAGTCCTTCGACTCAATTTCTATGAACGAATTATTTGGGAAATTGAAACAAAACCCAACTCATTTTTTCAAATAGAATTGGGTCTCGGGGGCTAATTGTTTGGGTACTAAAATGGTCATACCCATTTTAGTCTTGGGTAACTCTACCCATATAAGCCCAAAGGGCATAAAAAAGGTATAAAAGGCCCCAAATAAGTCAAATACATCAATATGGCCTTCAACGGCCCACATATGTAATTTTAGGGCTCATAAACCCACTTATGTACTCATATAAATACCCCTCAAAGGGCATAAGGTAAAAAGAGGTCACTCTTATCATCTAAGATGACCATACTCCTCCACTCTCTCCCCTAAACTCCTCTCAAAATATGCATTGTTTGGCAACTAACTTGGGCGTCGGAGGCTCCGCCCCGGGTTCAACCCCCGGGGCTCGGGGTTCATTTTGCAGGTCCATTCAAGGCCCAAATTCGAGGTTCTCAGACACCCCTCCAAGGCCCGGTTAGCTCATTTTTTGCCGAAACATCGGTTTTTGCTCCTCTGCATCCTTCTCCACCAACGACGGTGCAGGGTAGATCACTGCATCACTTGCAGGGTTGTAGAACGAAGCAATCGACATTCTAGTCCCGTCTGTTTGGGCTACGACTCGATGCAGCACACTCTTGTATCTCCCATTAGTGATCACCTACATAAAGTAACATAATATTGTAAGGTCTTAGTACTAAAAAAATTTGTACCTGTATTTAAGGGGTGACTTGTTACGCGTCTCACTCAAGACTAGTTGTTACTAAAGTGTATAAGTACAATTTGGTGGTGACTTACCTCAAGTTGGTCACCAAGGTTGATAACAATGGAGTGACGCATAGGTGGAACGTCGATCCATTTGTCGTCTTTAAGGAGTTGTAGGCCGCTAACTTTGTCATCCTGGAAGAGGAGGATGATGCCACCAGCATCGGTGTGGGCTCGGAGTCCATTGATCAAGTCGGGTTTAGGGCATGGTGGGTAGTTGCTCACCTTGGTCCCATAGTTTGGTGCACTATTTCCATAGAATACCTTCTTAAGGTAACCTTTTTCAAGGCCTAGGTTCTCACAAAGCAAGTCCAAAAGATCTTCCGCTAGTTTTTCCAACTTCAGAGCAAATTCCTTCATAACCTTCCTGTATGTTCATGACAATTGACCAACAGTTATTTCCAAACACGAGATAATAGTATATGTGACTATTAATTGCAGTAATGGTTTCTTTGTGTCGAGTCTCACCTGTATTCATCGTCGAGATCAGGGATTTCGGTGATGTTAGAAGTAGGAAGATGGCGCAGATAGAAGGTGCTTTCCCAATCCATGTCCTTAATCTCAGTAGATACATTCTCTAGGCCTTTGCTAGCAACTAGCTCTTTAAACCTCTGTTCCATACATTTCTTGTAGTGTGATCTTTGCTGATCCTCTCAACAGTGTCCAAAAGATCATGTGAAATTCCATGATTCACCAACTATATCAACAATAATATTCATCAACAACAAATTAATTAGCCAAAAAAAATAATGTTTGCATGCTTATATGAAAAAAATCATAATGAATAGAAAATAAGATTATCGTCAACACGTTTAGTCAATTAAAGGAGTCTTTCCTCTAGTGGCACGACTTGCACGGACTCGCTCGTGTAGTCGTGCCACTGAGTAAATCTATAAAGATATGTTTATAACCGCCAAAAAAAGCAAAAGAGAATAATAAAAAAAACGTTTATAAATTACCTCGAAAAAACCCCAGTTTTCACAAGCATCATGAATCTTTGCCATGGTAGCTTGTCTCTCCTCACCATAAAGATTCCCCAAATTGATAACTGGGAAATTCTCCATTTCTTATAACTTCACTCTTCTTTTTCTAAGTATAAGCTGAGTTTTTCTCTTTATAGAATATTCTTTCTTTCTTGCTTTGCTCTTTGAATTGTGATAAATGAGCTTTGGTCTGTCCTATTTATAGAGGGTGGGAAAATAGGATTAAGAAAAGTAAACAAAAAAATTTGTATTTGGTTGATATTTAATGAAATTTATTTAATAAAAAAAAAAAAAAAAAAAAAACATACAAGTGGGACCCTGTATTCAAAGAATGTTTGGGACCTACCAGTCTACCACATGGTTTCACTTGTAAAATAGTCTTACTACATGTTTCATTAGTGATGGCTTAACTGTGGGTCTAGATTCTTGACCAAAAGAGAAGAAGAAGCATAAATGCCATTTATCTAATATTTGAGTTAGAACTAAGAAATTACCTAGTATTTTCGGGTTTGGAATTAGAGTAACCATAATACTAGTGGCGGATTCCACCGTTTTTTTTTTTTTATTATTATTATTAAATTTAATACTCTAAATAAATTTAATGAAAATACAGTCAAGTCGTCTTAATGTGAAATTTTTTTTTAAAAAAGAAAACACTAATTTTTTTTTATGATACATAATAAAAAATACTAACATTTGAATGTGTGCATTTATAATCTACGGAAAAAAATTGAAAGTGAAACAAAGGGAACAATTTTCTTACAAGAGACTTTAATTATATTGAGGCTTGACCTAATTGTGACTTGATAGCTCAAAGTTTAGTTAATATTGCCTAGATAATTCCCGCCGCATTTTCTCCTAGATTGTTGGATAAATACGTGGTATTTCAAGATTAAATCTTATCGGCCATTATTCTATCTTATTTGAACTTACTAGCATTTAATCTACATTATTCAAATTTAATTGAACTTATTAATCCTTATTTATATTATTTGAATTTCTATGAGCCTATCAAACCTGAAATACATAAAAAGTAAGGTGTGGTGAACTGAACCTTACTTTGTTTTATTCACCTTATTTTTACTTATATTAGCAATAATATGTTAAGATATAGTATAGGATATACTATAAGTCAAGAAAAATAAGTTTAGATAAGATATACAAAGTAGAAGTCCTTCTTTTCTTCACCTTATTTTTGCTTAATCGAAATTATTTTTACTGAATTCAAATTATTTTTGTTCAACTGAAATTAGTTTTACATGCATAACTGAAAAATTAAGTGAGTAGAATGCACCCTTAACTTTCAAATTAATTTTGAAACATTTTACACATACAAAAGTATCAATATTTGCCTATTCGGACATAACGTTACAATAGTCAGTGTATTTTTTTGGTTGTTTGTTGATCTTTCTTACCTCTGTTATTCGATGATAAACGCTAAAAGATCCCATAATACTCTATCGGTGTTTAAATAAATAAAACGTTTTTCTTTTTCGACTGTGTTTAAATAAATAAAACGTTTCATTTTTTAGTAACTTCTCTCTACATTTTAATAATATTCCCTCTATTTTTTAAAAACATTCTATTAACTAATGGTCCCCAGTCCCCGCAAAACCCCTTATTCTCTTCTCTCTCCTCAATTTATACCCCGCTATTTGATTATATTAATAAATTCAACTAATCTTTCTAAAACTCCATAAAAATCGATCAAAACGTTTTATTTATTTAAATACGGAGAGAGTATTAGATATTTTCGTTATTTGATGGTACTAGCTAGCATTATAGGTAGAAGCCTAGAAGATCACATAATACTTGGTAGGTGACAAGGTCGTACAAAATGCGCGTTACGTCAACTGATATGATTATGAAGTTGTAAGATTACCAAACGAATCCTTAAAAACTCATGATAAATGTCCATGCACGTGCAATTCTGATAATACGTTTAAATAATTAAGTGGTTTTGCCGAAAGTAAATATAAGAGTGTGGATATATTGATTCCTAGCCTAACCTAATATATCCGGCGATTCATCATTGGTATTCTTATGGATACCTTTTCACATTAGATATTATTATTAATATTATTCCACATTAATGTGAATATAAATAGATCTAGATTGACATAATTACTTGTGCTATATATGCGTAAATATTTTCAAAATATGTACGAGTAAGATATATATCTCGTATTACCAACTGTGATGCACAGACACGCCACCTGACAGGAGAGTCCGAGTCGACACGCGTGTCGGACACGGACACGGGTGGGACAAGGGGCGACACGTGTCCGACACGCAGAAAATCGTGTCCGTTTTTTTTTTTTAAATTTTGATACTTGGACACGGACCGTGTCACCCCAAGACACGGCCCGTTTTGTATTGGACACGCGAAATACAATACCCTCACTGACTCATGCTCTGCCTCTCCCAACTTCCCAAGTCTCAAACTCTCAATCCTCTCATTCTCTCACTAACTCATACCCTAAGTACTTTGTAGCTCGTCGTCGTCGCCCGTCAGTCGTCACCGCCGGCCGTCGGTCTCACCACCGCTGTCACATTCAAACGTCTGTCTCTGATCTGCTAGCTGCGTCTCTCACCGAGTCACCGTTCGTTGCTGTTTAGGCTTGTCACCTGCTGCTCGTGCTAGGCTGCTAGCCTTCTCTCACCGTTGTTCGTCCTCAGCCACCGCCCACCAGGCCACCAGTCTCCAGCTCACTGTCGTCTGTCGCCTGTCGTCCGTCGCGCGTCAGCCACCAGGTATGGTTCTGAGGTTCTCTACTTTGTTTTTTTTTTTTTTAAATTCAATTAATTTTCTAATTTTCGATTGCTCCTTCATGTATACATTCAATTAATTTTCTGAAATTCAATTGCTCCTTCATGTATACATTCAATTAATTTTCTGAAATTCAATTGCTCCTTCATGTATACATTCAATTAATTTAACTTTAACTTGATTAGAATCAGGAACAAGCGTGCATAATTGATCCTTCATGTATACATCCTGTATACTGTAATGAAAATGAAGAACTGAAAATTTGATTTTTGATACTTTGATGTATACTGTATAGTTGGCTAGTTGCTGGACTTGTTGGACTTGTTTAATTAAACTTTAATGCATTTGATATAAGCATGAAAAACTGAAATTGTATTGTTGTCTTGCTGAAATTGTATTGTTGTCTTGTTGAAATTCTCAGGAATGTCTTCTAGTTCCTCTGCTTCATGCAATGTCAGTGGTAGTAGTAATTCATCTGAGTCTATGAAAGACCCCTACCCTTGCGGAAGTTTGTGGTTAAGGGTGATAAAACATCGGGTGGTGGAGGAAATTATAAATGGAAATGTAACTTTTGGAAAATATGAACCCGAGATGGCCGAGCTCTCACTTGATGAACCCGAGATGGAAAATATGATTTTTGATGATGTACTTGGTGATGGTCAAGAATGAAACTATTAGTACTTATGTTTATCTTATTTATGATTTGTAAAACTATTATCAAGACATGTATATGGTTTTATGGTTTCTTGATATGTATGAGATTATGTTCGTACACTTTGTTTATTTACTTGTTTAAACAAAATTGTGTGTTTTGAGGCTAATTATTTAGTGTTTTATTGAATAGGTTGTCAAATTCTCGTTTTTTTGATATATTATATGCCTTGATATACGCCGTACCCGTGTCCCCTATTTCAGGATTGCCGTTTTCCCGTGTCCGTATCGTGTCCGTGTCCGTGTCCGTGTCGGTATCTGTGCAACATAGATTACCAACATAAATTTTTTGACGAGATAAGACATAAAAATCAATATATATATATATAAAAGGTTTTCGTAGGTGGGACTTATAGTTAATTAATTTTATAAAATAATAATGAGACAGAATAAGGGCAAAACTAGTGTAAAATTCAGCTGTTGGTGCACTTATAGATTCACTACATATTTTACTTCCTTTCCTGTTTCTCTGTTGCTTTATTTAATAGTTAACTAAGCATTCTTTTTGCAACTTTGTTGCTAGATTTAAAGCAAGCTAAATGATGATATGAGGACAAAGTCTTCCATTACTTCATAAGCTCTGGTCTGGGATGGAATATAATTAAAGGTGTAACATGAGCGATAAATGTCAATTTGTATCATGCATACATGCACATTATACGATTCATGAGACAACGTGTGCTCAAGTATACGTACGTACATTTGTGTAAGGTTACAAAGTTATTACATATATGACATGATATGGATGTCAACTAATTTAGTTAGTTAAAATGTTTAGAGATTAAAGAGTCAAAGGTTAAAATCTGAGATTAAATTATGTCTACATCACTGTACTTTACGACTATATATTACTGCACTAAAAAAATATGTGACGGCATGATTTGTATGAGGAAATGAAATTAGACATCACTACATCAGCATCCAAATATCTTATGTATTAATGGTATTATAGGGATAACTTTTTCCTAAGTGTATTAAAACAAGTTTTGTTGAATTTAATTTCGTACTAATAGTTAGTTGATTTTTGGTACGACGCTAAGAGTTAGATTTTGTTTTGTGGCTTTTTTTTAATGGAAATGATGAGAATTCGAGTGTTCGTGAATTAGTGCTGATTGTATATCATGTGTATTAAAAAGGCTAGCTTCTACTAAATGCTTTGGATTAGAAATACAGAATTAATTTTAAGTGTTCACACCTAAAAGAAAAAAATAATAATGTAATGGTATTGTGCCTAATTAGTAAACATTAATTGAAGATAGAATAAGTTTATCTTAAAGAATATATTAGAAGAATTCAATCTCATAATAGTGACTAAGATTGTGTATTTTCTTACATCATCTAATTCTACTGTTCTTGTTTAAAATCTTGACACAATTTGAAGCAATTTTTAAAATTATTTTCAATAAATAAGATAAAATAAAGTTAAATGGAATCATATTTAATTTGTCTCAATATATGTCAGGTACAAGAATTAATTTTTATTGATACCATAATTACCAATGTTAATGGTCAATTATATGTATAGTCAAAATCAAAAGAATTTTTGAAAAGGAAAGTATATTTGCGAAGTAATTAATTTTATGAGTGTTTAGAAGAATAATAATGTGGACGTGATCCAATGGCATATTGGCATGCAGGTCTAAGAAACCTATATTAAAACTTTACGAATTAATTAATTAAACTGACACCCACTATATTATGAGTGATTGCGGTATGTGTACCACAATATATAAATAGAGTAAATGTAACAGAA